TATATATAAAGCTCATACAGATTTCTTAGATTGCAGGATGAAATGTTTTATTAACGTAACCAATCCAGCATTATTTAAACTGATGTCCTGGAGAAATAAACAAATAAAAAGAGCAAACATGTGGAAAACCAAATAAAATGTTCATTACTCATTACTCAAATTGCTGACTAGTTTTTTGTCCACCACCTAATCAATAAATTGATGAATATCTCCACCTGAACTACAAACTCACCATCTCCATCGATGTCAACCCTCTCACAGTCGTACTCCTCTGGTGTGATCGGACACCTGAACAGGGCTCCTGGTCGACTTCCCCTCAGCCTCCCCTGGCCTGCTGCTTGCGGTGCACCCACCAAGATCCTGAAGGAAAGTCAGTGACATTTAATTGTAATACCTGCTGTGAAAGACTGGTTACAGCTCCAAGTTTAAGCCACCATTTATGAAAAGTACAAACCCTGCAGACACCGTGCATTGTTGAGCATGTTATCATGTTATCTTGACTTACAGTTGATTCAAAGCAGCTCTGTGAAATCTGTTTGTGGTGTATCTGTTTGCACTATCACACAGAGGCTATCACCAGTCATTCTTTTACTATCAAGGCAAGGAAAAGTCTTCTTCTCAGTGAGAGGGTTGCTGATATTTTAGGGCTAGTGTCAATGCCCTCTGCCTTATTAGGAGTGGCTGATTCAGGCTAGGATGCTATTTAAAAACCAAATGTTGAGCCACATTCCACCCAACACCATCAGCCATGGCATAAGCATGGAAGCGAGACGTGGGGAAACACGGGCAGAGAAGAGAGCGTGAAGAGTACAGTGCAGCAAATGATAGAAACAAGAGAGAGAGGGATCCTAAATTGAGTGCGACAACAGAAGCATTCTCCTATACCTTCATTTTATTTATAACAATGATGTTAGCAATTAAAATGCTTGGCTCAGTTATGCAGCTACATACTGCACTGTGAAGCCTGTGCAGAAAGTTCTCACCATGAGCTGTCCTCATATCTTCTGTGTCACTTAAATTAGAACTATCTCTGAGGCTGGGAAGTATTTAACCTATAAATACAGTCTAACAAGCTCAAAGTACAGCATGGACCATACAGAACAACTAAGTGGTCGTCTGAGTGTTCAGAGTGAGGCAGTCATAACAAAAGGGTCGGACGCACAGCAGCTGCTCTGTACTGCTGTGCTGAATAATTGAGGTTATTATGTTTGATACAGTATATTGAGTACACTTTACAATACCGGCTCCACTTGATTCTTGGAAATGGAACTGGATCAAATGTGAATCATTTCCTTATTCATTTTCAGGAATACACACACATGGGTGACAGCAGGCACGGAGACACAATACAGAGCAACAAAATGGCATTTTTACTTTAAGAAACACAAAATTTGCTGAATTCTTATTGGTCTTCACTGTTACTGAGTGTACAGTGGTGTAACCTACAGCTGTTGTCTTAAAGTTGTTTAAGAGTAAAATGCCACACTTCTTAACTGATTTTTGTGCTCTAAAAAGGACGTGGTGATCACCTGAACAAGCAATCTGTAGCACATATGCAAACTGTATTGTACTGTTACAATTTCTAGCCTGGAGTAGGATACAATTTCAATACAAATGTTTGGGGTGTAAATTTTCCAACATCTATGTAGACAGCTGTTTATACCTCAACAATGTCTACTATCAGAATGATAACATTTTAAATCTTTTTTTTTCTGATGCACTCTTCTTTGTCACATGATGGAATTATTGGATTTAAACATCGGTGTTGATGGATTTTATCTTTCCTAGTAGATGGATTGTATTGCAATGTGACTAAATCGAGGGGTATCATATGGGTTATAAATGGGGTTAGTGCAAATTATAGCCTGTTAGCAAGGTTTACATTTTAGTTTGTTTCACTAATGCAGCAATAGCACTGCAAGTGTACAGTACACAGTTGCACAGTGCCACACTTGCAACCAGCAGTAAGGGACAAAGTTCACTTTTTACCCATCAAGAAGTTAGTTTTGTGATGGGTGACCAGCATCACAGAGCCAATAGTGACACTTTAGCAACAGCAGTAGGCCTGCATCCTGATTCTGATATATTTCTGTTTTTCTTTTATTCAGGTTTATTGTATAAAACACAGATTCATACTGAGAAATGTAATTCAGTAATGGACTGAATGAATGAAGAGATGAAATAGTCCACCACAGTCAAAACCACTGTTTTCAATTCTTAATTTATTAAATGCATGTTTTAGGCTGAAACACTCCTTTCAGGGTAATATTTTATTAATAATGCATATCATTGGATATTATCACTTGATAAGATACTATATAGTCATTGTGCCAAAAATCAATGCTGGTCAGGTTAATAATCTTAATCTGAAAGGTAACCAGTAACTACACCAGTCCAATAATGCAATGAAAGTATCAATTCCCTCTGAATTGTAATGTAGTATACAAAGTCAAAGAAAAACTAGTAAGGGAAGAACAAGTTTTGTAAAAAATGTACTTCAGTAAATGTACTTTTCCCTGACTAATTAAGACAGACAAACTACCACTGATACCACCCAGGCTGCCAGACAGCTCTACTTTCTATTTTCTGCTCCTGCCTTCTCTTTCCTGACAAATATTCTTGTTGAGGTGCAGCTGTGCGAGCCTCAGGAATGGTTCTCCTCACATTCACGAGTCAGAACTTGGTGGCCCACATTAAAAAGAAAAAAACGACTGAACAATGTTAAACGAATGCAAACACATGTTTATCCAAGAGGATTTGGTTGAGAGGAATAGCACATCACTAAAAAAAGAGAAAAAAAACTGATAAGATCCAATCCCTATAATAGGCCCACATTCCAGGAGGCTCTGGTTTATGTTTAGGAGTTTAGGTGATACAGCTCTTTCCCCCTGCATGTGCAGATATGCAGGCAGGTGTAAAGCAGGGAGGTCTGGTTATCCGTTGTACCTCCATTATTTGGACAAGAGACTGGGATGGCTCCCAACATGTTTCTATAAACTGTATGACCCTGCTAGACTGAAATAATTCCTTTAAGAGAAAACACCACTCAAACTTTACTGTATATCCAGGCATGAAACTGTCTAGACAGTATTTTTTGGCTTTAATTTTCTCTTCATTTAATTCAGACTGATTACTTACTAATGCTATTGGCCTCCGGTAGCATAATTTGCATGACATTGTGACATGCCTCAAGTAAAATGCAGGAAAATATTTCAGAATGCAGCTAAAATGACAATGCAATTAGTCAACTGACAGATTAAATTCAGATTTTTTAAAGCAAAAATGCCATGCATAGAGTAGTTCCACCTTTTCATTATGAGACTCCACCCCCCTTTTATTTTTATTTATCTTCTTTAACAGCTAATTGAAAATCTTTGGGTTTGGCCAAAGAAAAACAACCACTGGAAGATGTCATTAAATGATTAAGAAATCAATCAAAACAGCACGTGAAAATAATCATTAGTGGCAGCCCTGTTTAGGGCCTTTGCTTATTATCTCCGTTTATTAGTTTGAAAAATGAAAAGTGAGAGTTTTTAATTTTAAAAATGGACATGTCCTTGCAGCCTTCAACATTTGTCACAACCGTGAAGTTTCTTTTTTTTTAAGATATTTTTTGGCTTTGTTAGATAGGACAGCAAGAGAGACAGGAAAGTAGAGGGAGAAGAATGGGGGAAGGACCTGCAGCAAAGGGTCATGAGCGGGACTCAAACCCATGACCGCTGCATCGGGGACTATATCCGCTAACCTTAACCCTAACCCTGACTAACCCTAACCCTATATATGGGACGCCAGCTCAACCAGGTGAGCTATAGCGGCGCCCACAACCCTGAAGTTTCTATGATGAACATTGACACTAGAATCGGGACTGCAAGGTGGCTCGGTGGTTAGCACCGTCGCCTCACAGCTACCCGGGATCTTTCTGCGTG